GACCCCCAAGTGTATGGGGTTTAAGTGGTAAAGTATATTCTCTTTATGCCCAGGAAAGACAAACTGGTAGGTGAGAAGCAATCCTTAATGTGGGGTTCGTTAAGTTTATATCGTACACTTAGAGCTACAAAGAAGTTCCCAACTCTGTGCCTGACATTTTTTTGCTGCAAGTGGGCTCTGGGAATTGCTGTTTCTCCATGGCACCAGCAAAGGGAACACAACTTACGTGGCAACCACAATGGAATGCTACCTTTCTCTCACAGAAAAGCAGTTACTCCTCAGCCATTCACTAACCACCATCAGCTTCAAAATCTGGAAAGCCCAGATTTGAAATTTGTCATATAAACCAAGCAGCAGCTCTGAACCATGGTGAAATTACTTACACCCTAAAATGTTGGGAGATGTAAGGTGGCATTCCCCAGAAATTTCTCTACAATAACCCCCAAAGCAGAATCTCTGGAATCTTATCTCTGTGCACAAAAGCCCTTATAAATAACTTAGAGCATCACTGGAAATGTGTGACTTAAGCATATGAGTCCGGAATAATGAGGATGGAGTAGAGAAGAAGTCCACAGAGATGACTACCTGTATCAGAGGTATAGCTAGAACCGTGTTCTGAGTCCACGAAGTAGGCAATTTTTAGTATTTGCACTAAATCTGGTTTCAACGGATCGAATGAGGGCTAAGTTCTCTACTGCTGAACAAAGATTTACTGTGATTCCAAGTACCCTGAATCTGTAGACCCACTCAATCTAACACTCTACAAGGAATGTTGCTTAATAATAGTGGTTAAACTAACCTTACAATGGAATTCAAAATAGAAAGAAACTTCCAAATGGCTATGTCTGCTCACACAGAGTTAGGTATCCATATTTAAAAAAAAAAAAAAAAAAAAAAATTTTTTTAAGGATTTTAAGTGATCTCTAAACCCAATGCGGGAATCAAATTCACAAACCAGAGATCAAGAGTTGCATGGTCCACGAAGTGAGCCAGCCTGGCGCCCCCATAGCAAAACCTTTGAAAAGAAATCTGAGAGGTAACACCTTGTTCTTGTGAACCGAGCGAGCACAGCTCAGAGCAGCAAGGCTCTTGCAATGAGAGCCCAGCCTCTCCCTCAAAAAACCAGGGTTTACATGATATAAGCAAAACACATGGCTCAGCTGAGAGAGAAAGTTAAGTGTTCAAAATTTTAGGGGAAAAAAAACCACATTATGTAATACCTGAAAATGAAAATTTAAGGATTTTTTCCCCATGAAAAAGCTGTAATTAAATCTTATTTAACTGTTTCCTCTAATGACATCCATTTTAATTAGGTTTTAATAGACTGGCAGCCACAACCTATAGTTTTATGAAGCAAAGTAAAATTACAGTCTAGGAAGACATTTAAGGAAAGAGACTCATCAACACAGATGAGAGGTTACAATATACCCCCTCATCCCCAAAGACCCTCGTGGTAATTAAGTGTGCTGAACAGACAGCCATTAGGGCTAACAGTAGGTGTGCTCGCCACCAATCAGCACTGGGTTATTCTTTGAAATCGAAGGGTTATTGCTGTGATCTGCTTTCTAGAAAATTTGCATGTCATGGAATAAAGAATGCAACTAAAGAGGTGTGGGTTCTATAGCGCCACCAAATCTGCAGCTTCTGTCCATGCAATGAGCTGTCTTGAGATTTTAAGGTATGCATTTTCTTATATTGAACATGATACAACAGCACTCATCCCGAGAAGATTGCTCTATGTTTCAGAAAATGAACATCACATAGAAAAAGCAAAATTAATGTATGAAAAACAGATTCATGTTTAAGAATAATGTATCTGCAAATGAGATGCACTGAACAGGATCTTTAATAGCATGCATCTGTATCTATTTCATACAACATTATGAAAATCAGGGAATAAATCACGAAAATTAACTTAGACCAAATGAATATCATGGGCACTTATTTTAGAAAAGAAGAACTAAGTATAATCAATCCCTTTGTTAGCCAGAGGATGGGGAAAGGCATCTGGCCTGTTGCTACTTCGGAGAAGTCTGTATATACTTATTCAAAAGAGAGACAAAGTTATGTGAAATATACTATTTTTAAAACTAATTCCGAAACATCAACGCTTAAATTTTAATAAATCACATATACTCCCCATAAGTTGAAAATATTGGGGAGGGGAATATCTGATACTCTCAAAAACTACCATTTTGTAACCAGGCCAACAATGTGATGACTCCAAATCCCTCCGCCAAGAAGCAGTTACTTGGCTAAGATACTCTTGTACACTTTCATCAGATTAAGGCTTTCATGCCAGGAATCTTTTTTTTTTTTCCTGGTGTATTGGCCATTGCCAGAAATGGACCCATCGAATTCACCAGTGCTAAGGAGTTAAGCATCTGAGATTTAATTTAACAGTTTCAGCTTTATTAAGCTGTCACAGAGCGGCCCCACTTTGATAACAGTAGCTGCTCCAATTATGGCTTGGTTTAGGGTTGACAAGTATAATGATTCATTCGTGGCACATGAGAAGCAATAAAAGGTTGTTTTGCATTACAGCTTTAAAAATGTGGGCACTTTTTTCATTTAATTTGTCACTTAGCTTTTGCTAAGAGGACATTTAAATTGCAGTAAAAGGCAAATGGGGCTTTTAGTTTAAATGTAATCCCCATATTTAAATGATCTGTAATGGTGCAGTGTTGGAGTGGGAACACTATTGTCTCACAGTGGGTCCTGATGGTGACATGTGACATTTGTATTCAGGTCCTGTATTATCCATGTGGCTAAAGGGCTTCCAATTTCATTTCACAGCCAGAAGCCTGCAGAAAACACCAATTAACTTGCAGATCCCATTTGCCGACAAAACTCAGCCTCTTCTCAATGTCTGGCATCTGGCAGTGCTCAGCATTTAATTCCAAAGCAGAGCCTTGAAGCAATGTGAGCCCTATGCAGGGGCACAAAGTCAAATTCTCCCATTTTATTAAGAAGCAAAATCCTTTCCTTTTGTAGTCCAGAAGCAACTTTTAGTTAATTTTTTGGTGAATGAATATTAAGATATGATAGCTACTGTTACTTCTACATGGGATTCTTTGTAAAACTTAGACTCCATTAAAGTGGCTAGTGACCTCTGCTTGCCATCAGAGTACACAAGAGAATTTATAGCAGTCTAGTAATGATGGGGTGGAGGGGAGGGATGATTTGTGAAGAAAGAAAATAGAGGGCAAGAAGATATATTCATCCTAGACTGAAAGCAAAGAACTTGTATAATATAAAGCCTGGCCCATAATCAGAAAGCAGTTCATCAGAGGGTATAACTAGAATCAGCTGGTGGAAACTTCTACCTAATGAGAATTATACTTTTGATTGAGAGCTAAAGTGCGTAATTTTCAAAACCAACTTGGAAAAGTGAGATGGGGCTAATGGATTAAACATGAACGCTATAAAGTTTTATTTAACTATATCACTTGAACATTTTTGGATACCAAAAAAACTATTAGTCAGCACTTTCTTCCTAATTAGTTATTTGTAATCCTAAATTCCTCCAAGTACCAAAGCTCTTTAAATTTTATTCATTTAATAATTAATCCAATACTTTTTAAATGATTCCCTCTATTATAGTTTAAGGTAGAACTTTTGAATGTCATAAATCAACTAGTCAATTCAATTTCACTACAGAATTAAAAAACTGAGGAGGGTTTACTTAAGTGTTATCATTCAGTTCGACCACGCTTAAACATATCCATCACACCTGTGTTTTTCAAAACTACCATACTGTGCTCTCAAACACTCTTCCAACATATTGAAACAAACTACTATAGTTAGGGACTGATCTAAATTTGACCAAGTTATTATAAGATAATTAATAAAAATACAAGGGGAAAGGCCAACAAATATCTAACATAGCTGGCAAGTAGCAGACATATACATTAAAAAAAAAAAAAAAAAAAAAAGCTGTCACCCACAGCAAGCTTCTGAACACACATCCTATTAATTGCAAAGAGGAAACTCTGATGTTCAATTCTTTACCAACTTGTGGCATAACCCTAGATTAGTCAATATCATCTTTTGGATGATGCCTCCTAAACTTCCCTGGAGTCCAGTTTCCTTATCCATAGAACAGTTCACCTCAAAGGTCCCTTCCAATTATTACAATCATGTGTTATATGCACAAACAACAGTTTCTCTTTGTCCAGACTTGACATGGAATCAATCAGCAGGATACGATCTATTATCAGCGAAGAGGGAAAGAAGGGGAAGGTATGAGGAGTTCTACTATTCAATTTCAATGAAACTAGGATCTCCTAGTAAACATATCTATAAAATTAATATAGGCATTGGTAGAACATTTGTCAAAAATTCCATCTGTCACATTCTTAAGAGATAATTTAACAAATGCATTATTTGTTAATTCCCTAGCAATAAACACTGGATACAAATAATCATCCACCCCAAATTTCCCAGTGAACCTGACTAGTGGATTTCTCATTTCTTCAATCACCTGCTATATTTCTATCTTTATTACAGAGATTTGGGAAGCAATAAAAATTATAGTTTACTTTATCTTTTCCCTTTTGACAATCAACAGTTCATCTAAGTCTGTACCAGCCAAAAAAATAAATGTTCAAACTACTTTTGACACTTTTAATGTACTCAAAGGGGGGAAAGAGCCAAATTTTAGCTCAACTGGGTACAATACTCTTCTAGAAATGAGTAACCAGCTCTGCTACACAAAATACCTATTTTAAAATAAAATAGCTTTCTTTTTCAAATATTTAAAGGCAGATTTCGGTGCTTGCTTTCCTCAAGATCCGACCATTTCTCCCAAACCCTCCCAAAACTATTTCCTGCAAATGCCAGCCCAAGCCCTCCTTCTTCTAACCAGTGTCTAATGGCAGTAAGTTCATAAATGAGTAGCTCTCCCTTCAGCAACACTCGAACCACGTGCTTTCAACATTCAACCATGATCTTTACCCATACACAACTCAATGGCAATCCGTCAGGAAACTTGTATTTACCCAGCTCATCCCAGAGCTGCCTGTATTTGTCAGTCATCGCAGTGCCTTGTTGCCTCCAAAGTGACAGACGAGGGTCAGCCATGAATTGCTCTGTTATCAACGTCAACATGCGGGCCCCATTTGAGTCCCTCATCTTCAACATCTCCCGCACCTGGTGGGGAAAAAAAAACAGACCTTTAGAAAAGTGGTCAAAAATGCACATTAATACAAGAACAGACCACTTTCTTTCTTTCTCTGGGGTCTGAGGCAGTTAATTCTTGATACCAGCCTTCTCTGGCAAACAAAAGTTGTGAAAAATTGGTCTCTATCCTAAATGACAATTTAATCAGAGAATTAACTGTTAATTTTTTAAAATTATGTTTCATAATCCAAATGAGGAAAAGAAATTTGGTTAACTTTCCAATTACAAAAACAAAAACAAATTTTTTGCTAGCCCACAGAAAAACACCACCAAAATAAATCATCTGGCACCTTCCTGATTCTTCCAAATGATTATACTTACCACTAGAGTAGAAAAGCCGAAAGCTGTCTACTGATAACTCTTCAGGGATCTTCTAAATTGAATGGATAATGTTTTTAATAATAGATCTGTTTTACTGTTTTTTAAAACCTGCTTTATTGAGACATAATTCACATACCATATAATTCACCCATTTAAACTGTGCAATGCAATGTTTTTTAGTTTATTTCCACAGTTGTGAAGTCCTTCAGTTTTTGAGCTAAATTACAATTTCAGTAAGTCCTCACACAAAAGTTTTCTGACAAGAAGAGCAATACCTTACTTTTATATTCACCCCAGTGGGGCTGTAGGAGGAAATGGGCTGTGCTGCAGGTTAAAGAACTCTCTAGCCCTAACTGAGCAATCCAGGAAGCAGAATTATAGCCTGTGACCTAGCGAGCTAACTCAGCTTCTCAAGCTGGAACTTCAAGCTCTGTCCATTACTCTGGAGCCAAATTTCCCAAATTAAATTAAAAAAAAAAAAAAAAAAAAAAGGAAGAAAAGAAACACAAGACTAAGTGTCTTTATAGGAAACTGTAGATAAATCCACCCATTCCAAAAGTGTATTCTGCTATGTGTTCAACAAACACGAATCCCAGCTGAACACCACACCACCAGTTCTCCCTATAGGAAATTACTGGAGTAAGGTCACAAGCAGCAGAAAAGGAGAGGGGATCCTTTTATTCAAGATTCTATGTGAAAGGCAAATCAAAGAGGAAATGGCAGATACTCAATAACGCAGCCCAAACCTCAAGATCTACTGATCCTGTGTCAGGCTTATACTCTGACAAGTAATGGAAGTCCATCACAGGCTTCAAATGGGAGCCCTACAAAGAACCCCAAAACACTTCTACACTAAATCACAAGTAGTGTGCTTTTCAGGATTATTTCAGTAATAATCTTAAGAAGTTTTTTTTATTTCTAATACGGAAGCACTAAAAAGTCATAAACAGAAGAAGACTGAGAGGAAGAAAGGGAATTATAATTTATTGGACATCACGCTAGAGAGTTTTACAGTTATACTTATCATGTAATCTTCATACAACCATATAAAATAGGCCAGATTATAATTCCCATTTTATGAATTATAAAAACCATGTTTCAGAGAAGTGTAGTAACTTGCCCAAAGGACAAGAGGAATCTCTGGGATCAGGGCCCAGATCTGTCTTAACTCTAAAAGTTATGCCAAAAAATTAAAAAATAAAAAAGTTACGCCATTTCCAAAATTAGATGATGCTTTTACTTCATATGGCACAAATAATGTGTACATAACATAAAAGGATAAAAACAGCACCTATAGGCCAGTCTAATACCTCTTTTACTTTGCTTCCAGTAGGCCAAAGTATACTATTCACTACCATGAGAATCTGTGAAATACTTCCTGTGTGTCTAAATATACCAAACCTTTAATATTACCACTACATCATGGATGTGATTTAATGTTTAATTTCCTGATACATTTCTAACCTATTACTCAGCAACAGCAATGAAAATAAACACTTCACTGTTAAGTATATAAACCACAACTATTAAGCAATACTCAAATACATCTACAGTCTAATAGTAATTAATTTTCAGATGGCTAACATATTTCAAGAGTTTGATGTACCTGTGAATTACCAAAGAATGATTAAATCATGTGTGAAGTAGTTTTAGTGTAAGATGTATTATATTATAATCTAATTTTCAGAAAATCGGCAATCAATACACAGTAAATGGGATAAATCTTTAATAAGAGAATACTGATTAACCAAAATACACTATTTTCTGGCCATAACCAGTAACAGAATATACTCTAATTCTTCAGAGCTAAATAATAATTTTTTTGATTATTATAAATATTAGAAAAGCTGTTTAACAAAAGTGTCAATGAGTTATGAAAACAATCAATTATTTCGCCCATTAAAACCGATCTGAATCCATTAGTCATATTAGTAGCTGTACCCCCATGAAAAGACACTGACTTAATATTTCTAAAAAAGCATTTTACTTAGTATTTAGAATTGCATTTATGGTACTAAAGGGTCTGTATAAAGCAACAGACACAGCTTCTACTCACACAGAACTTCTAAGGAAGATAAGCCTGTTTCTTAGGCCATCAAATTTTGGTGATGAAAATTTAACCATTTACCACGGCCAAAATGATGTGTTAGACAGCATTATCATTTAATCACAACATGAGGAGATATGTTATCACTAGCTAATTTTATAGATGAGGAAACTGACTTGAGTAACTTGTCAAGGTTCATACATTCAATAAGATTTAGAGTTTAAATTTAAAGCCAGGCCTTTAGGATTCCAAAGTCCATGCTTTTGAAACGAATTTAAATATACTGAACATTATTAAACTAAATATATAATGTTATATGCCTGTATTAATTGTACAAAAATAATTATGTAAAATTTACAGACTAGGGATTGGAACAAAAGACACTTCTCAACTTTAAAAAAAAAAAAAAAAAAAAAAAGCCCTAAATATATAAAGCACATTTTAAGGACTGTATTCAAAGTTATGCTCTACTTGAGAACATTAACTAGGAAAACTAAAAGCTTGAAAATATGGTATTTCTAATAATACTAAGCTATTTACTTTTGAGTTTGGAAGTTTTTCCGAAATTGTATAAACTGTCACCATTTTAGTAATGGGAAACAAAAATGTTCCACATCTTGACTAAGGATAGCTAAGTAAATTAATGCATTACAACGTCATAGTTTCTAACTGGTTAACTTAGATGCTCTTCTTTAAAAAAAAAAAAAAAAAGAAAGAAAGAAAGAAAGAAAAAAGAAGCCTTTATTCTATTGTACACATCATCATATATAGATACTTTCTATATATGTATATATTTAGAATATTTCTTTAAAAAAAAAATCATACCTTTGCAAAGAGCAAATTAAGCTGCTTCCCTGATCCGTGGTACCCGCCCTGGGAAAGGAACAGTTTAACCTGTTCTTGAACCTGCTCTTCATCTAAGTGCCAGCAGTTTTCATCATCTATACTAGCACCTGCTGTTGGATCAGGAGCACCTAGAAATAGAAAGAAAAAATAACACATATGCTAGATAAAAACTCTGTGCTAAAGGGCTCTGATAATAAACTTGAAAAGAATTAAGATTCTCCACTTTTTGCCTACACACTTTTTAAGCCACCCTCAATTTCAATTATACATACAAATTTATGACTGAAAATAAATATAAAAATCATTCTCTTATTTCCAGGATTTTCTTGATTTGTGCTAAGCTAAAATGCAGATCACTGCAGAACTGAGGTATTTTAAACTAAACGTTTGGAGAGGAGTTTACAAGTTCTCTAAAGAATAAAAAAGTCACAAAAATGTCTCATTGTAAATACATGATGTTTATAAAGCTCTACTATGTAGGATATGTTAGGAAAATGTTTTTCAAAGACATGAGAAAAATGTGAAACCAACTGAACTGAGCAGAGTATTTTTCTCTTTACTATGTTAATTCAAGAAGCTTTCACTGTTATCTGCTGCCATATAAACTACATGCTGACATAGTCTTTAGTTGCAGAAAACTGAAGATTAAAAAGGGAAATCAAACCACATGGGAACAGGGAGTGCAGCTGTTGTACTAAACCAGGTTGTAGTATCACCTTGCCAAACTGCGTAAATATTTTATTGCTGAAGTACACACAAAAGATTACAGCCATGTCATAAGCCCTGTGTGTAAACTACCTTAGAAATTCAAAAATTATCCAGATACTTAGGCAGGTAAAAATTAAGTTTCATTATTTATTTTTTAAAAATGGTATTTAAGGCCTGAGATTCATAAGAAATATTAAAAAATTTAAGTCTAAAAACCTTTCATCAGTAGTGTTTAATCTCACCAACCCTTAAAAAATACATCTGTTGGGGCGCCTGGGTGGCTCAGTGGGTTAAGCCTCTGTCTTCAGCTCAGGTCATGATCTCAGGGTCCTGGGATCAAGCCCCGCATTGGGCTCTCTGCTCAACAGGGAGCCAGCTTCCCCCTCTCTCTCTGCCCTTCTCTCTGCCTACTTGTGATCTCTCTCTCCCTGTCAAATAAATTAATAAAAATCTTAAAAAAAATACATTTGTTTAAGTCTGGCTGTACACTGCATTTCTTTTCTTCTAATGATCTAAGAATGAACTGGCCAGGGAAACAATCACTAACATCTGCATAGAACCAGTGTCCATTAGCCCCTAAGAGGAGAGCAGTGAGTCTGTGAATCTCCCTGGAAAGGTGTGCCTTCATTCATTCATTCATTCACTGAGCCAACATATTTATTGAGTGACTCCTGCTAGACTTGAGAATGAAATGGTGTGCAAAATAGACAGAATTCTTGTCCTCATATAATTTACCAACAAATTATTTTTGACTAGGACCAACAATAGCAACAATTTACATCAAGCCCAACGTATCTGTATATATGAGTATTTATGTGATGACATCTATTATCTATTAATCTGAAGCAAAAGTATGATGAAAAAAGACCCTGACTGTAAGTGAGAGGGTCTGATATTCTCTATTGTATTTTTTAAAAGGGCTTATAACTTTTAAGACTGATTTCATAACCGATAATGGGCTGCAACCCACTATAAGAGAAATGCTATTTTAAGTGTGTGAGATAAGTATCAATCTAGTAATCACACATTTAAATATATGATAATAACT